ATGAGTTTTTCTAGGCGGTAGCACACGGTTGCCATCTGTATATCGCAATAATAATTTAATTTTATAAACCAAAATGAATCACAATTTGTGACGGTAGATGGCGCTATACCCGCTTTGATGTTTCTTAGCGATGGCGTTCGAAACTAGAAACGAGCAGTTGTCGCCAACTACATGTATCCCCCGTGATCTAGTATGAATGGAATATCTCTGTAAGGACGTAGAAGGCAGGTAAAGTTAAATAAGTCACAAAGACAAAGGTTTGTTAGACAACTGGTGTGCCTCAGATGTGCAAGTATATGGAATCTGGTTACCCTAGGAGGCCGAAGAGGAAATGTAAGTCGACGGTGAAGGTCAAACTAAGGTCAAGGGCAGTGGTGGTTTTGGTATGCGACAGACCTTCTCCCCAAGATGTGTAAGCATACCAAGTTTGGTCGCGCTAGGTCAATTAGGGGCTGAGTTGGAGAGCGGAAGAGAAATATGATCAAGGTCAAGGTAAAGGTGAAATAAAGGTCGCAGTGACCTGGTGGGCAGTTTTTACCCGATCTCGGATCATCTTCAAATTTGGCATGAAGGTGCGTTATGATAAAGCGAAGACGCCAATCGTTTTTGGTGTGGGCGGAGTCATCGTTGCCATGGTAACAACATTTTTGTGGAAATATTGTAGATCCTGTAACTTGTGCTGTTTTTACCTGATTGTCATGGAATTTGTATACATCCGTGCAGTGACTCCGCACGCCGCGTGCACCTACCGTTCACATGTTGGTTGTGGAGCTGGGTCGATGCTATGACGTCGGATTCTGAGATGTTAGTGGAAAGCTTCAGCAGTATGTTGATGTTCATGGCTGGTAGATGTATGCGGCTGTCCCTCACAAAGTCCATGCAGACTTGCTGCGTTGTTCCCATCGTCATGAACCGTGGTGCGATCAGTAGGAAGTTACTGTAAATGCAATCGATTGTGTTCACACGTTAGTTTTATGGCACACACCAATACTAGTGGCCCACACGGTTGGCTAACACCTACCAATGGCATACAGTACAGGTAGTATCTATATAAATGTAATGTGTACATCCATGTTTTGTCTCCCTCCACTCGCCATTGGCAAGTTGGGTCGAACGCGAACCAACAATATCGTTCCCTGGCATCCAACAATATTATATGAATTGAAATTAATATAATCATGAAACCTCCAGCTCTTTTGAATAATATCTGAATCCTAAACGATCAACGCTCGATTAATCCGCACAGCACTAGTATACTCACCACAGCACTGCACTTCTGGGATCAGGAGAAGCCGGCCCACATTTAGACACGGGCCGTGCGTAGTCACTCTCATCTCCGTGGCACCGTGTCACACAGACAAAAAGCAGCAGCGCTAGGATGATCTTCATCCTGGAGTGCCGTTGTGAGACACTTAACATTCTTTAGTCGTGGAACTTGCGAGCTTGCAGGCCGCTGGTTATGAGGGAGTAGGGCCTCGGCTGATCTTATATAGACAGTGGTGTCGCGCTGACGCGTTCTGGACGACGTTAGAGGGTGGGTGTTTAGTCACCACCACCCGGACGCACACTGACGTCCGTGTCAACGGGGAAGGTTCCATGAGATGCGGTATCACTCCGGGGATATGGTTCTCCACACCCCCCGCAGTCTCACAGCCAGCATGCGCTGTTGTTGCACAGGCTGCGTTATCTAATCTTACTCACAAGGACACCGGACATGCCCTCGCCTACGATATCAGTGGCTTGTGTGGGCGTGTGCATAAATACGTGGCTGCGTGTGGTGTGCGTGCGTGGCCATGTGCTGTGCTGTGTGTGTGTGTGTGTGTGTGTGTGTGTGTGTGTGTGTGTGTGTGTGTGTGTG